GTGCTGGCCAAGGCACGCCGGACCGGGGCACTGCTCGACCCCGTTGACTTCCTTGATGGCTTCAAGATGGTGAGCAGAGACCCGGTGCCACGGCGGGGGACCATATCACGCTGCGCCCTGCGGTGACTCCCGCCTTGCGTTTCCCAGTTCAGTTCCCTCTTCAAGCCCTACGTGCGGTACTGCATGGAGGAGGAGGGCTGCATGGAGTACATGCGGGCGCTGCTGCGGGACAGCGAGCTCTTCCGCGCCTACGTGACGGTAAGGGGAGCGGCTGGGGCCGGGGCCGGGGCCGGCGCCGGTGCCGAGGCTGACACCTGCATGCCGCAGTGGGCCGAGAAGCACGAGCAGTGCAGCCGCCTGAAGCTGAGCGACATGCTGGTGAAGCCCCACCAGCGCCTCACCAAGTACCCGCTGCTCCTCAAGTCTGTGCTGAAGAAGACAGACGACCCATGCGCCCGCGACGCTGTCACCACCATGGTAGGGGGCTGGGGGCACAGGGTGGTGGGGCGCGGCGTGAGGTGGTACCCCCTGGCCTCTCGAACCCACCACCACCCCGGCCGCAGATTTGCTCCGTGGAGCGCTTCATCAATGACGTCAACTCGCGGATGCGCCAGCGGCAGGAGCGGCAGCGCCTGGCCGCCATCCTCAGCCGCATTGACGCCTACGAGGTGGTGGAGGGCAGCACGGATGAGGTGGACAAGGTAGGCTGGGCAGGGCGGACCCACGATGCCACGCCGCCCCAGGCCACACTGCCTCATACCATGTCCTGCTGCCCCATGCCATACCGAGTTATGCCACCCCATGCCACCCCATGCCACGCTACCCCGTGCCACCCCATGCTGTGCCTGGCACTGACGCCGGGGGCTCCCGGCAGCTGCTGAAGGAGTTCCTGCGGCTGGACCTGACGGCTCCCATCCCTGGCACCTCCCCGGAGGACACCCGGCAGCTCCTCCTCGAGGGCGGCCTGCGGATGCGGGAAGGTAAAGACAGCAAGGTGAGGACCACGGGGGACGCGGAGCCTCGGCCCCAGCCCCTGCCCGCCTGCCCCTGCCCGCTGCGCCGGCTGGCGCCCACGGCCCTGCTCTCGCCCCCAGATGGACGTCTACTGCTTCCTCTTCACCGACCTCTTCCTCATCACCAAGCCCCTCAAGAAGGCTGAGCGCACCAAGGTGGTCCGGCAGCCCTTGCTGGTGGACAAGGTCGTCTGCCGGGAGCTCAGGGACCCAGGTGAGAGGCGCCGGGGGTGAAGGGGGCTGCGGGGGGGTCCCTGGATGCCGCTTGACAGCTCCTGCCCACAGGCTCCTTCCTCCTCATCTACCTGAACGAGCTGGGGAGCGCCGTCGCCGCCTACACCTTCCAGGCCAGCGGGCAGTCGCTGTGCCGCAGCTGGGTCGAGGCAGTGCGCAACGCCCAGGTGAGGGGCGCAGGGGGCGGCTGGGGGTCCCATGGGCTCCCCGTGCCTCTCTGATGCCTCCCCCTCCCCAGAACCTGCTGCAGCGGCTGCGGCAGCGCCGGCACCTGGAGGAGGAGGAGGAGGAGGAAGAGGACGGCGAGAGCAGCGCCTCAGCTGCCAGTTCACCCACCGTCATGCGCCGCGGCAGCGCCAGCCCGGACTCGCAGTGGTGGTAGGGAGCGAGAGGGGGGCCCCCAAACGCCTCCAGCCTGGCATGGCCCCCTCCTTACCCTGCTGCCCCCGCAGCCCCTCCGACGGCTCCACCGAGACCCTTGCCATGGTGGCGGCGGCAGACGGCGGTGGCGGCGAGCTCTCCTCCCCAGACTGGGACGCAGGGCCCTTCGGCTCGACCTCGGACGGCTCCTCCATCAGCACCGGCACCTCTGCCGACACCTCCACCTCTGCCGAGACCCCCACCCGGGAGCTGCCGGCGGGCGCCCTGCCTGTACCCCTGCCCCATGGCACAGCTCCCCCGGCCGGCGGCTGCCGCTCATCTTCCATCGACAGTGCCTATGGCACGCTCTCACCCGCCTCCCTGCGGGACTTCAGCCAGCAGCCGGAGGGGTTGGCCGAGGAGGGGCGGGAGCCCCCCACGGCCCCCC